TTTAACCAAAAAATCTGAACACCCCCCCCCCCCCCTCAAAAAAAAAACACACCAGGGAAAAAATTCTGTTGAGAAAAAAACGAGGGAGACCAAAGTTGTCGAGCAAAAACAAAAAAGGACCCAAGAGTTGTTAAGCAAAAAAAAAAAAAATTTTTAAATAATAATTAAAAAACCCCAAAAAGAATGGCCCCTTTAAGAAACGCTTTTGAGGCTTTTTTGCCCTAACAGGCTGCCAGCAGCCATCTGCCATCCTGTCTTCCTGCGCCAGGCCGAACAGCTCCCCTGTGGAACCAGGGAAGCACCCTGGATTTTCGCCTCCTGGCCGGGAAAAAAATCAGAAAGTACCAGACATTTTAGGTATCCGATATTTTCTGGATTTTTTTTACCAGATAGGGGGCAAAAATACCGGACTGTCTGGGTCAACACCTGGCAACCCTATTCATGCGCTGAGCTGGGGGCGACGCAGAGCTAGGACACTAACCTCCCCTCTGCGTGCCCGATCAAAGGGAAGCCAGGTCTGCAGCTCATGGGGCCTTGGGGCACTTGGCTCCTGTGGGGCAGGAGCCCAGTGGTTGGCCGGGGGCTGAGGGAAAAGCTCAGTTCAGGCAGCGAGCCCTCCAGGGGCAGGACAGCAGCTGGGGCCTGTGTGTGACTTGCCGATGGAAACAGCTGCCTTGACCCCCCCACTCTTAGGGTATGTCTACACTACCCTCCTAGTTCGAACTAGCGGGGTAATGTAGGCATACCGCACTTGCAAATGAAGCCCGGGATTTGAATTTCCTGGGCTTCATTTGCATAAGCGGGGAGCCGCCATTTTTAAAACCCCGCTGGTTCGAACCCCGTGCAGCGCGGCTACACGGGGCTCGAACTAGGTAGTTCGAACTAGGATTCCTATTCCGAACTACTGGTACACCTCGTGCTCCCTTACTCTAGGCCGTGGCCTCTTTCTCGGGGTCCTTATTGACTCGGAGCCTAGTGGCACAGCTGTGCTACCTTACTCTAGGCCGTGGCCTCTTTCTCAGGGTCCTTACTGACTCGGAGCCTCATGGCACGGCTGGCAGGGCACAGGCTGTGCTACCCTACTCAAGGTCGTGTTCTCTGTTGGGCCCTGTCTTCTGTTGTTCCTGGCAGTTGCTAGGCAAATCCCTGGGGTCTTCCACCACGGCACTAGTGCAGAGGAGGGGGCTTTCTGACCACAGGCAGCTGCTTGCTTCCCTTCCCCCCTCCGGTGGCTTTCCGGATCACCCCTCCATCCAGCAACTCCCGTGGCCAGTAAGCACCAAGTGTTCTCTGGTACCGAAGGGGAAGGAGCGGCTTAGGAGCCTGTCAGAGTCACTTATTCCCTGAGGGTATGTCTGTACTGCAGAGTTTTCCCGGAAAAACTATATTTTCGTCCACATTGCTATTGCATTCTTTCGACAGACAGAAAGTCGAAAGCACAGAGGGGTTTTTCCGACGGCGGTAAACCTCATTCTACGAGGAAGAAACTTTTGTGGAAAAGGCATGTGTGGACGTGGAAGAGAGCGGTTTTTTGAAAGAAGAGGTCTCCAGGAAAAAGCACCGGTGCCTGGTGGCAACTCTGTCTATAGCAATCACAACCGAAATGCGAGAGCGCGTCCAATCCATGTGGACGCTCTCTTTTGAAAAAGCAGATGGCTTTTTCGTTGCGCTTTGGCAGGGTGGACGCGCTCTTTCGGAAGAAGTTTTTTCGGAAGTGCTCGTCCAGAAAAGCGTCTTCCGAAAGAAGCCTGCCGTCTAGACGTAGCCTGAGAGATCTCTGCGGCTGCTGGGGGGCGAGGGCCACAGAAGCCCCCAAGCAGCAGGCGGTGATGTTATCCTGGCTGTGCAGCCCCAACGGGGGCTCAGGAAGAGCATTCACTCGGACTTTTCTTGCTTTGGGTTTACATCAGCCCTTTCGAAGGCTGGTCCTAAAATCCCCCTGCTCCACGTCAGCCTCCCGCGCCTCTTGCCGTCTTCTGCTCCCCCCCAGCCGGCGGGCGCGGCGCATGCCCCCAGACTCACAGCGCCGTGCTACAATCCTACCTGTGGCCCGGCCCGGCCCGGCGTCCATGCTGTGGCACGTTCGCTGGGCTCACTGGGACAGCCCTGGGGTCTGTGGCTCGTCCCCCCAGAACTGCCGTGCACCCGGCATCGCGAGGGGACTGACCTGTGCATCGATTATCTTCTGCTTGGAGTCCACTGCCGCTTGCATTTCCGCGTGATCTTTCTTTAGCTCCTCCTCAACCGACATCAACCTGCGCCAGAACACAGAGGCCAACACTCAGCTTGGGAGAAGCAAAGTCCAGGTGCCGTGATGAACCTGCACGTCACTGGGCGGAGAGCCCCAGAGACCAAAATTCCCTCTCTGTGCCGAGCACAAGCAACACCTGGGCAGCGGGATACCGCCTTCTCTTCCTCTGCCCCAGCCCTGCCTGGAAATACGGACCGGGCCTTGCCAGCTCCTTGGCCGCCCTTGCTGAGACTGCTGGCTACATAGTGGGGTTTGCGAGGGGGACGCCTCTCCACTAGGAAACTGCTCACACCCACCAAGGCCGAGCACTCAGCCAGCAGCTGGTCCTGACTTTGGCTTCCCCCTGGTCACTACAGGCTGGCTGGGAGCGCTGGCCTGGAGAGAAAGGCACTAGAGACCTTGATAGAAAGCCCTGGAGCATTAGTTAAAGAGTAGGCTCAGTTCCCCCACCCGGGCGCCTTCATCCCTTTCATGCTTGTTTCACAAGTTCTACACTAAAAGGGGAAGTCGAATCAAGATACGCAACTCCAGCTGCGGTAATTAAGTAGCTGGAATCGACGTACTTTGTTTCGAGTCTCCCCGCCGTCCCCACGGTGGGGACTCCTTGCAGAAGTAGGAGTACTGGCCACCAGGAGGAGCATCCTTTGTGTTCGATTTAGCGAGTCTTAACTAGACTCGCTAAATCAAACTCCGGAAGATTGATCTTCCGTTTAGTGAAGACAGGGCCTCAGTTCCTCAACTCGCAGCCAGGGCCAGTCCTGTCCTAGCAGTGGGGTGAGATGGTTCTTATCACCTATCTGCAGGATCCAACCCCTTTGCAAGCAATGTCCCTCTGAAGAGAGCATCCTAGAGTCCATTAATGACATTTGCTAGGATGTACACTCAGACCTTCCTGCCCGAGAGAGGTCTGCTGGAGGGGTTATCTCCCAAGAGGAGGGGCAGAAACCCCATTGCCGGGGTACAGAAAACAGGACACAATAATATACTGAAAGGGAAAAACCCTACCCCAAGTGCAGAGCGTTGGGCTGGGCTGAGCAGTCTCGTCCATCTCTGAATTCTACCATCGATGACCCCGGCCAAGCTAGCGATTCCCTCACCCCTAGCTTTAACAGTGACAGGGGCCCCTCCAAAGGGCTGGAGCGAAACAGCTGAGGTTCGCAAACCTGAGGTTGGCAAGCACGTAGGAGCGGGTGACGACTCCTCCATTTCCATCTGGACCCCAGGAAACGAAAAACAGCGGGAAGCGACCGGGTGCACAGACTTGCCTGCACCTCAGAAAGGTGACCCTCCGCTCGCTGGGGGCAGTGCTGATGTCAGAGCTCCTTTGCCCCCACCCCAAGAAATATAGATTGATTGGAAACAGTGAGCTTTAGTGACTGTGGATTTTGCAAACGGCTGCGTAATGCCATCGACGCCCATGGGCTTACGCTAGGGCCGGGGTGTGCAACCAGTTCTGAAGCGGTGGCCACTACCATGGCTACTCACTAGTGGCTAGCGTGTGGGACTCCACGGCGCTCAGGGTCGATCTGGCCCAGTGTCTGACGGGCCTCAGAGCGGACACAGAACGGACACAGCCCCAGAAGCTCCATTCAGCCTGAGCCCTGACAGAGTTTTGATTCAGCCCATTAAGAGAGGAGCTAGCTGGAGATTTCACAGTCGGGTCCAGGTAAAGCCCCCAGGCTCCTGGCTGTCTACATGCGGCTACCTCCCTGCTACAATCATTTGTACGTTGGGGTTTCTCTTCCATCCCCCCGCCGGCCTGTACCTGCTGATGATCCCCTTCATCTGGATCTCTTTATCCTCCTGCTGCCTGCGGAGCCGCTCCTCGCTCTCCTCCAGCCTGGCTTGGTACTCCAGCATCAACTTCTGGGTCGTCTCCTCCTGGCATTTGAACCGGCTTTCGTACTCCTCCAGCTTTTTGTTGGAGATGCGGAGCTTGTCCTGTAGCACTACCAGGTCCTGCTGGTACTGCAGCGGGCGGGGGCAAGGGGGAGAAAGCACAAGGCACATTTACTGCTAAGGATTTTCCCGCCCCAAGACTCTCCAGAAACCCAGCCATGCTCATCTCCTGGCATTAGACTAGCTGCAAACCCGCACCGGGGCAACCCTGAACAGCTGCTCAGAACCGTCTCCTCGGCGCTCTTCTCCTCCAGCGCTGCCCTTCTGCTGGGACGGCCGGTCACTGGCAGGTGCAGAGAAGGGTGGTTAGCAGAGTTTGGATCGACAAAGGGGGACGCGGATGAGCCCGACCGAGTGGCACACGCAGGAGGCAGCACTGGTGGAGTTCTGGCTTCAGGCATCCTCCCGCCAGGTCGAGGTGGCCCGAGGAATTCTGCACAGGCCTACAGCTGAACCCAGCCAGCTGGCATGCTGGGAAACGCGGGCTCCCTCCGGGGGCCTGTGGCCGGGGGAACGCTTGAGAGCGGTCAGAGCACTGCAGCCCCTGCAGGAGCTCGTTATTAGCAATCCCTGCCGGAGGGCACCAGGGCAGCTACTGCCTTCGTGCAAAGGACAGTGAAAAGTCTCCCCAAACAGCCAGGCTTCCCAGCTTAGGGCCGATCCAGGAACGAATCAGGCCCCGTCCCACTAAATCCAGGCCACACCTGCAGGAGCAGTGGCTGGGCTGGGCTTCGGCGGAGCATGCTTAGTCCCCCTGTTTTTACCCAGCTGGATTCTCTGCACAGATGCACCCAGCCTGGAGAGGTGTGGAAGGGACATGAGCCCGGCCACATGGGGCTCTGGGGAGCTGGCGCTCGCAGGGTGACACCGTTACACACAGCCAGACCCCCGGGAGCTGCCCCCGGCACGCTGGGAGATAGACGGTCTTAGCAAAGGCAGTGCCCATGCCAGACTCATCACATTGGCCTCTCACCGAGCACCTCGGGCCGGGCTGGGAAGGGAGATGCACGAGTTCCGTCTCCACGGCCCGTTCAATCATCCTCCGTGGAGACCGCCCATTCTGCCGGCTGTTGCTGGCACAGTTTTTGTGAGACTGATCCCTGTCCACGGAGGCCACTGCACAGCCAGCAAATGACAAGCACATTTGGTCCCGTACCACGTGAGCTACTGGAATCAGGCCCAAAACAGTCCTTGGGGATTTGCTCTAATGAACAACCATCCGACACCACCGCCGGGCACGACCTGCCTGTTGTCTATGGCCAAGCGTTGATGAATGTGCATTTTCCCCAGGAAGCAGGTGCGTCTGAAGCCAAACACATGGCTTAGCGCCAACTCCTACTGACGTGAAAAGGAGCGGGACTGAACTCAGAACAAGGGCTGGCACTGGGCACGGGTTGATCAGGGACTGTCACTTTTACACGATCAGCATGGCAAACGGACTTTCGTAGAGCCAGAATTGGAACCCGGGCCTCAGTGGCAGAGGCGTCCATGCATGAAGCCAAAACTCCACCTATTGTGCTTTCCTCGCCAAAGAACTCAGAGACGTTTTTGATCAAATAAAAGTAAATAGCGGCGAGAGTCACAGAAAATTAACGAACAAGTTCAAAACCGGGGTTTGTTTGTTTGTTTTTAAACTCAACCACATTGTATTCAGCTGTCACGGCAGTTCCACATTCAGGACAATGGACTTCGATAAAGGAAAACTCCAGCGTGGCAATGGAAAGAGATTTTTTTTACTTTTGAAAGGAGCGACTTTTCCAAATTACCGCAAAGCGCGACCAAATGAACAATCATTCATAAGCAAACGGGAACCAGCCACTTTGATGAGCTGGTGGTGAGACACGGTAAATACTGAGTAACAGCACAAGACTGTCAAACCTGAACTCAGCTAACTTACCGAGTGCACTACCAGCTGTAATAAATGAAGAGCATGCTGGTTGCTTTTGATATTGATTTAGTACATAGTGGCTACGTCGCTGGTAATTTAACCTTTTGGTTTTATCCCTAAATAAAGAGAAGGTCTGTATAACAGCTCAGCAAATCTCTTGCCTCGGATGAGCATTTAAATGGCAGGTGGCATTTCTCGTGCGCTAACACACAGCTCACCCTGGGCCTCCCGCTGGGGAGTGTTACTACAATGGCAGCTCTCCCGGAGAGGGAGAAGCCGGCCCATTCACTGATTGGAGATGGCCAGGGCCAGATTCTAGCAGTGTCAATCAGCACAGCTCCACTGATGGCAAGCTGCTACCACGGTTTCCATTGGCTGAGATACGCCTGCAACTGCAGCTCCCCCCAGCTTGGAAATTCACGATGCTGAGTGTTTTCTGAGCTGCTCAAGGGTTAAGATGATGGCAGCTAGAGATGGGAAAGGCTGTTAGAGCCATGGTGTCCAACACGCTAGCCACTAGCCGCACGTGGCTATTTGGCCGGTGGAGTGTGGCTAGCTCGCTACAGAATTTGGCCACCACGGCTGTTAGAACCTTCCGCCAGGGCAGAAGGCAGCTGCGACAAATCACTGTGGTTTTCCTTTAATCGGGTTCGTACAGAGTCACGGAGACGACACGGTTCACACACACCACCTGGCGAAGAGGGGGAGACACCGACACCCGCACAGTCACTCAAACACGGAGCGATTAAATACCTACCCTACCCTGAAAATAGGAGCAGCGTAAGGGAGCTCCCGGGATTGCAGGAGAAGCCTCAGGAGCTGCTCCCGTCTCTAGAACACTTGTCTCATTGTTGGTTACCGTTCAAGTCTTACAGTAATGGGGAGAGAGATTATGCTAATGAAGAACTTTAATGCCAGTGACTGATGTGACAGCAAAGTAACAAAGGATGCTGCATGGGGATGAGACGCCGGGCTCTGGTGGGGTTTGCATTCTGATCGCTGGGCAGGGCGCAGGGTTTATGGAAACGCCGGCCGACCTCGTACGCCGGGTCGAAGGCCAGCCAAGGCAGCGCAGTGCCTACCCACGGGGAAGTGGCTAACAGGGGCCCCCCTGCCTAGTCACAGCAGCTTGTGGGTCGAAATCAGAGTTTGTGGCATAGTCCTTCCGAGGCCTGGCTCCTCCCTCACGTTATTCTGCTTCCCAATTTCTGCAGCAGCTAAACCGGCCGCTCTGATCTCCAGAGCTCCATGCTACGGCCCCGCGAGAACCTGGCATTTCCCGGGCTCACCGTGGAGACCCTTGCTGGACGCGGTGCTCCTGCCGAGGGTTCAGCTCCGCTCTAATTTAGCAGCCAAAGTTTGTATAACCTCAGAAAGGAAGCCTGAGCTGGTTGGCCTTTCCCCACCTCCGATGCATTCGGATCGGCCCCTCAGCACATTTCTTTTCAAGATGCCAAAATGGAGGGGGTGGGGGGGGAAAGCCACTAACAAAATGGGATCATCGCTGAAAAGCAACCCCGGGATTTTTTTTCCTTTTCTTTGAAAGCTGTGAGATTTCTCCTTGTGCTTCTCAGTCCCTGCCCGGCCAAGGCTTTGGCATTTGGCTCAAGTTTAGCAGCCAGCCCAGAGAGCGAGGCAGCCCCAGAGACATTCGAAAGAGAAGGTCAGCGTTCCACACGTAGAACCGTCCCTGCCCCTCCGCACAGTGCATGGCTCACCGGTTCAAGGGATCGGGAAAGGCTAATGGGGCTGGCGAGGGGGCACGCCCAAAAGGGAAGCAGAATTAGCATTTGTGAGCGCCGCTGTCAACGTGCCTCCCATGTTGGGCTGCTGGGGGAGCTTCTTGGGAGTTAAAACGATCCCCCTTCTCCCCAGGGCATGTGGTGTCCACACTCTGCCTGGTGTCATCAAAAGGCTAAATCACCCCAGACAAAAGTGCTGGAACCCATAAGCTCTTGGCTCTTCCCTAGCGACTGCTGGAACCTGCCCGTAGGGATCCGATACGAGTTACGGAATCTTCCCCAAACTTGGACTGTGCCATCTTGATTTCTAGCTCCACTCATTCACCTCCATCTAGGTGCGCTGGTCTCCTCCCTGCCCCTCTCCACCTCCAGCTGGGCTAGGAGCTGGGAGAACCCGGCAAAGGCTCACTGTTCCCACAGCGAGGGCCGAACAGAGCCAAGAACGGACTTGGTGGCTGACTGGGAAACCAAACCCACCGCACACCGAATGCTTTGGGGGGATTTTTCTTGCCGAAACAACCCCCCACATTTGGGTTGGGAGTCGCGTGAAAAGTTTCGAACATGGAATCAACTCGCTGTTTCACTGGGAGACCGTTATTGTGAATTGCGAGACAGGATGGGGGAGGGAATATCTTTTATCGGCCCCTCTGCTGGCGGGAGGGGGGAGGGCATAACTTTCACGCTTACACTGAGCTCCTCCTCACCCTGCTCTGCAGAGCGCCAGGCTGGTCTCTCTCGGCAGCAGAAGTTGGTTGATAAGCGCGATTCCTTCACCTGCCTCGTCTCTCTAATATCCCGGGACCAACATGCCTCCACCAAGGCTGCTGACAACCATTTTGAAATGAAACATCCAGAGAGTTTGCTTGGAAAACGTCAAGGCAAAACATTTTGACACTTTGGACTTGGCTTTTTTAATGTATTTCTGGCCTCTCACCCAGATTCTCAAATAGCCGCAGTGCCCGGAACCAAGGGATTTGGCGGTGAATTTACTATTTGGGGAAGATATTTTGTGAACTCTGGGGCACAGCCCCTCCCGGGTGTGTTGTGCTCTGATTTATCGCAGCCGCTAGAGGCTGTATCTCCTCGGGGAGCTGGAGCTCGCGTGCTACCGATAGGAGTGTAGGTGGGAGCAGACAGGGATGTCAGAGGTTACCCGGTTAGCATGAACCGTACCGGAACGATTACAGGTAACCAGTCCAGTGGCGCCTGACTGAGCAGCGCCGGCTGAGTCCGGCCGGCCGAGTGGAGGTAGCAGGCAGGGCCGCGCCTGTGTTGAGCCCCCAGCCCTGGCTATGCTGGAGCAGCCCAGGTGGTCACTCAGGACCGCAGCCCTGGCCATGCCGGCTCTGTCCACGCCGGAGCAGCCTGGCAGGCTCAGGCTGGCCGGGGAGATTCTAACTTTGCTGGGGCTGGCCAGAAAGATCCCAGCTCCAGCGGTGCCGGAATACTCTGGGCAGCAAGGTGGGATCCCAACCGTGCCGAGGCATGCCAGCTAGATCCCAGCCCCAGAGCGAGCCGGGCAGCCAGGCAGGACCCCGACCGTGCCGGAGTGGCCAGGTTACGGTTTTATCTGTTTGACTGGTTAACTATTTTAATGGTGATTTCCACTCCTAGGAGCAGAGGCAGCAGCGAGTGGCAGGTGGCTCCGAACACATACCCACGGGCGCTGGGTAGGTGTGTACTCAGGGCTGCTCCCCCTGCTGCCGCTCGCTGCTGCCCCTGTCCGGCGGCTCTACTCTTTCTAGTGCGCTAGCACGTACGTCTGCTCCCGCTGGGAATCAGCCCCCGACTCCCACAGCCTTCGGGTCAGCTCTGGGGCTGCGGCCTCGTTTACCGCAGCATCAGCCTGATTACAGCCGGTGGACTCATACCAGCCTTACGCGGGGGTCTCTAGGATCAGACTCTGGCCCCTCGCCTTGCAACGTGCTTCTGCAAGTCTGAGTGCTGAAGGCTCCTCTTGCCCTGCATCCCCTGAGCAAGCCGGGGTGGGCGGGGCGTGGGTGTGCCTGCTGCTGCCTGCCTCGCTCATTTCCTTCCCGGTCTCTGCGCCGGGGGGCACAGGGCTGGGAGGAGCAGGGTGGGGGCACCCCTGCCACCTGGCGCGCTGGCTTCGCTGTCGTCTCTGTCCCCTCCGTGTCTCTGGTCCTGAGAAGAGGCACAGCCCCGGGCGGGTTTCTCTCAGGGCTGCTGAGTCACCTGGCGACCCCGCCGCACCCTAGGCAGCTGGGATCCATGGCGGTAACGGAAACCCTCTCTACTTCCACCCTTGTTTCCATCCAGTCGGGCTTTACCTTTTCTGCTTGGCTGAGCTCGTCCTTACTCCTGAGCTTATCCCTGTGCTTGGACTCGGGCTCAGTGCTTTCCTCTTCTAAAAAGTGCATGTTCATATTCAAAAGCCATGCGGCCGTGCGGTCCAGGGCATTGGGGTTCACAGGAGAAGGGGCCTACAATGAAACATACAACCATAGCACGAGACACGTCGGTAACCAACACGGAGGGGGAGCGAGAGTTTCCTTCCAACCGAGCCCAAGGTCCCAGCGCGGCTCCGAGGGAAAGGAAAGGGGGAGGGCCCCCGGTGGGGTCTGGGAGGGAGCGGGGACACCGCCCCTCGCTTATTGCAGCGTGTGACGGTCTCGCTGCGTCTGCTCCGCCTGCGGGCAGAGCCGGTAGCTTAACGCTGGAGCTGCTCCGCGATGGAGCGGCTGAGATTTCGCTGCAGCCCGTGGCAGGGTGACCAAGCGAAATGCGATTTTCGATCCCTCCCCCGGGGTCCCCCTGAACAATCGTGAGATGCCTCTCAGGTTGTTCTCGCTTATTGCAGCGTGTGACGGTCTCGCTGCGTCTGCTCCGCCTGCGGGCAGAGCCGGTAGCTTAACGCTGGAGCTGCTCCGCGATGGAGCGGCTGAGATTTCGCTGCAGCCCGTGGCAGGGTGACCAAGCGAAATGCGATTTTCGATCCCTCCCCCGGGGTCCCCCTGAACAATCGTGAGATGCCTCTCAGGTTGTTAGTCCGGGCGGGGCCTTGGGCAGAAGGGGCGGGGCTCAGGCCAGCCAGGAACCTGCCAGGCTGCCTCTGCCAGCCCTCAGCTCTGACCGGAGCGTGCCATGCTCCGCTCCGGCCGCGATGGAAAGGCCCATGGCTCTGAGCCCTGCAGGCTCCCCAGTGGGCCTGCTCTCTAGCCATCTGAGCTTAGGAAAGTGCCCCTATCAGCGAGCTAAAGAGACCGACCCCCATCAACCCCTGTGAGCCTGAAGGCAAACAGAACTGC